TGGGTGCTCAGTGCTGGGTCGCTCTGTTGGGATGGAGTGAGCAGGAGCGGTTTGGGCACCTTCAGCTGTGCCGACACGGCCGCAGCCCCGCACGGGGAGCAGAGCTCCCTCCTCTCTACTGACGTTGCCGTCCCGCTGCTGGGGCATGAAGGGCATCACTGCGGGAGATAGCAGCGTTATCTCCCGGCGCAGGGCAGGCGGCAGCACCAGGCATGACCTCCTCATGCCTTCCCCTCTCGGACAGTCACCTCTCCTGCCAGGGGACCCGTGCGCCCCGGCTTGGCTCCTCCAAGTCCCCACCTGGGTCGATCCCACCCAAACGCGGCCCAGATCCCCCAGATCTCCAGGCTTACACACCTCTGTAAGCCGGGAGAAAATCCATGCTGGGAGGATGCAGGAGGGGGACGGCAGCCCGGTCACTGCCTCCCTGGCCCCAAAACACATCCCCTCCAGAGGTACAGGGAAAGGTGTGATGATAAATCATATCGACATATTCAGCCGGCTCTAACTAATGACCTCCCTGGCACTCAACGCATTTTCCTGGCGCGCTGACTGTTCAGAATATTGTTGTAACATTTAACTCCCTTTAAAAAAAAATAAATAAAATTAGCTGTGCAGTTGGCAGATTGCTGGAGACACTTGGATTCTCTGCGGGAAACCGCTCCGCGGTGGAAGTTTGGTTGCTGCAGTTTAATGGCAGGAGTCGTTGCCTCTAATGTCAGCTCATTAGCTGGGGTAGTCCAAGGCGTCGCTGTGTTCAGAGCCCACGGGGAGCTGTGGGCCGTTCCTTCCCGCTATGAATATTATGGGCCTGTTTTGTTCCCTACATGTTAATGCTATTAGTGCTGCGTAAGACGCGTGGCACAAGCGGCAGGGGATGGTCCCCATCCTGCCCGACACCCAGCACGGGTTTGTCTGCACCGACGCTGGGGCTGGCAACGGGATTAAGGGGCTCCGAGTATCAGGGCAAGTTTTGAGTTTGTTCCCAGGGGGTAAAATTGTGACGGGCAGGGGTGCAAAACTCCTGGGAAGGGGGCGGCGAGGGGGATGTAATCTCCCATAACTCCTCTGCCGGCACCCCGGGGCAGCTCTGGCTGTGGGGAGATGCTGGGGTCATGTTGGAGGATGGCACTCATGACCCAGGGAAATGCAGGGTGGCCGCCGTCCCCAGCCGGTGCCGGCGGCAGAGCCCGTCCAGCCCTGGGTTTCCATGCGTTCACAGGAGCCTTCTCCCAGCCCAAGCCTCCCGCAGTGGCAGCGTGGGGCTCCAGCCTTCAAATTAAAACCAAACCAGAAATTCAGCTTTCAGCGAACTCGAGAAAGCGTATTTCCAAACAAAACTGTGCTAAATAAAGTACGAGCTGCAGGCGGCCGCCTGCTCCGACAGATCCACTTTGCTCCCTTTATTTAGAAAAGAAAAGAAAAGAAAAGAAAAGAAAAGAAAAGAAAAGAAAAGAAAAGAAAAGAAAAGAAAAGAAAAGAAAAGAAAAGAAAAGAAAAGAAAAGAAAAGAAAAGAAAAGAAAAGAAAAGAAAAGAAAAGAAAAGAAAAGAAAAGAAAAGAAAAGAAAAGAAAAGAAAAGAAAAGAAAAGAAAAGAAAAGAAAAGAAAAGAAAAGAAAAGAAAAGAAAAGAAAAGAAAAGAAAAGAAAAGAAAAGAAAAGAAAAGAAAAGAAAAGAAAAGAAAAGAAAAGAAAAGAAAAGAAAAGAAAAGAAAAGAAAAGAAAAGAAAAGAAAAGAAAAGAAAAGAAAAGAAAAGAAAAGAAAAGAAAAGAAAAGAAAAGAAAAGAAAAGAAAAGAAAAGAAAAGAAAAGAAAAGAAAAGAAAAGAAAAGAAAAGAAAAGAAAAGAAAAGAAAAGAAAAGAAAAGAAAAGAAAAGAAAAGAAAAGAAAAGAAAAGAAAAGAAAAGAAAAGAAAAGAAAAGAAAAGAAAAGAAAAGAAAAGAAAAGAAAAGAAAAGAAAAGAAAAGAAAAGAAAAGAAAAGAAAAGAAAAGAAAAGAAAAGAAAAGAAAAGAAAAGAAAAGAAAAGAAAAGAAAAGAAAAGAAAAGAAAAGAAAAGAAAAGAAAAGAAAAGAAAAGAAAAGAAAAGAAAAGAAAAGAAAAGAAAAGAAAAGAAAAGAAAAGAAAAGAAAAGAAAAGAAAAGAAAAGAAAAGAAAAGAAAAGAAAAGAAAAGAAAAGAAAAGAAAAGAAAAGAAAAGAAAAGAAAAGAAAAGAAAAGAAAAGAAAAGAAAAGAAAAGAAAAGAAAAGAAAAGAAAAGAAAAGAAAAGAAAAGAAAAGAAAAGAAAAGAAAAGAAAAGAAAAGAAAAGAAAAGAAAAGAAAAGAAAAGAAAAGAAAAGAAAAGAAAAGAAAAGAAAAGAAAAGAAGGAGAAAAAGAAAAGAAGATGAAGAGCAGGAAGGAAGGAAGAGAGAAAGGAAGAAACAGAGAAAGCCAGAAAGGAGGGAAGGAAGGATGGAAGGGGGAAAGGGGGGAAGGCAGAAGGGCACGGTGGTGGTCACTGGGGAGCCTGAGGGTCCCTGGGAGCGTCACCCCCGGGGTGAGGGCAGCGCCGCTGCCTCTGCAGTCACCCGGGCACGTCTCCCCTCCCAGCACAGTTAATCCAGACCCCAGCTAATCCTCTCGCAGGTCACTAGGAGCTCATTGCATTTTGTTCACTTCTCAAATGCATCTAGAATTAATTAAAAAAAAAAAACCCAACAGTAAATTCGTCCTGTGGCAAAAGCATTCGGCGTATTCCCCTGGGGCGAGCTGGAGGGGTGATGGAGAAGCAGCCTTTTCTGGCTCCAAATGCTCAGCTTTCATTAAAAAAAGAGGAGCGAAAGCCTTAATGAATGTAGCCAGTGTGGTCAGGAGGAAGACTCGGGCCGGGTGACCAGGCTGGAGTTGGGCAGCGTGAGCCTGCAGCCAGCCTGACACATCAGCTCTGCAAGGCCACTTCGGTCCCGTTTGACTTCCAGTGACTATGAGGTTGTAAAAATTAACTGTTTGTGCCTATTTTACTCTTCCCTGCGGCTGTAAGGAGGGAGAGGATCTTGTGCCGCCTGCCCCAGCTGCGGTGGGGGCTGGGGCAATCACTTGGTCTGCCGACACACCAACAAATAACCGTGGTGCTTGAAAAATCAGCTTTTGGGATAAAAAATGGTTGTGCCTGGATTGCAGCAGGTGGAAGTATGTTATTTGGTGTATAAGATGGTGGGTCTGTTTCCAGCACCTGGGAGGTTTGGGCAGGTTGTTAGTGCTCCTGCTTGTGGTGCTGGGATTCTGCGGGGATCCCCAAGTCCCAGGCTAGATTTGGGGCAAATTTCTGTAAAATGCAATCCAGCGTATCGTTGCTAGCCGGGTTGATGCAGCCCCAGGCAGGCTGTGCCTGACAATGCTTCCTGGCACTGGTGCTGGTCTGGCACTGGTGCTGGTCTGGCCCTGGCCACCATGTGATGGCAAGGGTGTGCTTGTCCCAAGCATGTCCGCGGGCGCTCGAGCTGATTGCAGGAATCAATG